TGAGTTGTCTAATATATGACCTCTAACTTTAATAAAAATATCGTCATTATGATGTTTATACAAAGATATGAATTGTCAGCAAATACAGTAACATTACAATAATCTCTAGGGAATTTATTTTTGCAATTTTTATTTGATTCCATACATACATTTTTTGGATTCAAATTCCCACAAGGGTCATGCACATTATGTTTAACAATAACAAAATGAAGATAAGAATATTTATTTTGGTCAGGAATTTCACAGCAGACTATCTTATCAACATCTACAGCAAAACAAATTTTGTGGCCACATTTGAAAATCAACAATAGATGTACATGAGGAAGACCTTTTTTTATTTTTTTGAAATTTGTTAACATATATATGCGCAACAACAGGGCCTAAGATATTTTTTTGTATAAATTATTTTTCAATTCTTCTAATTTTGCTCTAAATATACGTACAGTTAGGAATGGGCGATTATGAATATCATCATTATGTTTTAGTTCTTGCCTAATCTCTAAGCAATTTGGATTACATATAATAGTAAAAAATATATCTGATTTTTCATAGCGTTGTGCAATAGCCATTGCATTCATATATCTCATTCGCATAACTCTAGGCCCACATGTAAATGATAGTGGCAAAATAAATTTTCTCTCAATGTTGCAACCCCTTGTCTCTCCATTTTGAACGATGTCTACAATATCTTGGTAAAATTCAGCTCGAATTTGTTTCTGGTTGTTACGAAAATAGTCTAACCTTTTAGTTTCAGTCTTAACATACATATCTACAACATATTGTTGAAGCAATCTACCACTGTGAAGTAAAACAAACTTACTGGAAGGCTTAATTTACAATTTTTATGAATAATATTCGCGGCAAGAAACCTAAGACTGGTGCTTCGTTCCAATAAGCAATGCAAAAAAAATTCGTCATTTATTTACAAAATTTACAGTGTACAATTGAGCAAAATGTAAAACAAAATTTATTTACAAACCTTTATTTTCTTGTTCAATAAATTTAGCTGTAGAGGCCACTGTCGCATGAAAAGCTGCAAATTGATCAGTAGGTTGAAAGTAGGTCGTCCTGTATCTCCCAATGCCTTCATGTCAACCAGATTTCCGATATGGAAAAAGTAATGCATACTGCAAAAGATCATAGCAACCGTAATAATAATGAATTCCATGTGAAACATCAGAATGACCATATATTATAATGTCACGAACGCAAACATTAGCATTCTTATTGTCTTCGACCCATATAATAGCTACTTGAGATACTGTAAGAGTGTTAAAGACTCATTGATTAAGTTCTGGATCGTATCTTATGTGTATTTCATCTTGCAAGTTAGGCATATTACTTAAAAACCTAAAGAATCTACTATACGGATTTACCTCCAAAATTTCAATTAGAACAATCAAAGTACATTGGACAAAGTTTTCTGAAATTTTCATACGATTTTCTAGTTCATTTTCTGTATCATAAAAATATAACTGCATATAATAAGGCGTATTATTCTTTGGTATAAGTTGATTTACATAATGATAT